TTTTTTTTGCTTTCTAACAACAAAAGCAATACTCTGTAGCTGTATAAATATTTATGTTTCGCGCGATATTTTGATGAGAAACTGTTCATTTATCGATGGCCGCTTTATGATTGTAACTAGAATGACAAACAAAACGTTTGCGTTGGGATGTCTCATAGATCGCACATCAACTACACAGCGTTGCACACACACACACAGACCATTCAGAACAGTAAGTAAACTCGTAATGATTCTTAAGTTTTTGGCGCTTATGCCTACTGTTTTTGGGATGCGCCCCGACATTCGACTTCCGATTGAACCCGTAGTGACCATTTGAATCCTTATTTGGCCTGTACAATGAACTGAAGTGATCAGCCCATGTATAAGTCAGCGCGCTTATCCTACTAGAAGAGTCTAGAACCAATCAAGTGACCCCAGAGGGATGGAAGCCATTGTGGACCTGGGCGAGTATCGATCCGAGCTCCGAACGTGGACCAAAAATCTTTGACAGTGCGCTATTTGCCACTCTCGGCCATTTTTGCCTGCCACTAGAATTCTCAGTGTGCACCTGATATCATTACTTACACTAAAATATCGATATGTATTGTCAGACGATTACTTCCATACTACTTTTATCGTGGTCAAACACTGCTTTCCAGCAGATCATAAGATTTCTTGTACTATGGTAAATTCCAGTATATGCGTACTCTTCATAAACAGTTTAAAAGTTGGTAAATTACAGTATATGCGTACTCTTCATAAACAGTTTGAAAGTCAACAAAAAGAAAAAAAACATGGCAAAATTGATATGCATAGAAATCATATTTACCTGGAAAACGATGACGACAACGAATAGAATGCAGACGATGGTAATTTCTTTGGTGGATGCCATTGATGTAGATGGATTCGACGGGGTGGATTCCAATGGTACGAACATACAGAGATAGATCGGAGATCCTATATGTATATACAGCTGTTCAATGGGATGTGCAAATTGAATGTTGTGCCCTTCCCAACGGCGGACGACGGGCAACCTCGTTAAGCAATATGTCGAACATAACAGAAACGGACGACAAATGGGAGAAATTAGTAAAAATTGAATTTACAAAGAAGTATTTTTATGATTCAAACAAAAGGAACGCCTTTTCAGGGGGTATCCAAAAACATCTTCACTTGCTAATTTGAAATTTAATTTGAGATAAAAAAAACTTATGCACGAATTGGAGTTCCGATGAAAAAATTGTGCACGTACACAAGTACGAATAGAAACTACCAAAAAACGTTCCAAAATATTTGAACCGACGTGACTGCACGCCTTGCTAATGCCAAAGATCACTAGGAAACCACGACGCCCAGTAGACGGTCCATATGAGTCATCGTTATCATATAGTAAAATTTCAACGTAAACAAGTAAAATGCTACCTGTTTCTGATAAAACAAGTAATTCTCGAGTAAATAAAGCTGAGGAATGAAAAGTGAAAGATCACTTGCTAAGCAGCACATTATCAAGGGAGCCCACAAGAAAAAAAAA